CGTGGATACTTCGTAAGGGGTTCGGACCCCTACCAAAAAGAAAAAAAAAATCTACCAACCTGCCTATTCCTGCAAAACAATAATGCGTTACAGCTTGAAGGATAGGATATCTATACTTAATATTATAAAGCTGAAGTGTTTGTTTGAACGCGCTAATCTCAGGAACTACTGGTCGGATTTGAAAAATTCGTTCAGTGTTAAATAGCCCATTTATTGAGGAAGATCTCACATGTTAACGTAATTGGTGGCATTCAAATTATGATGTCTATTAGTTTCGGTAAGCACATAACATTAGATGGGCCGTAAGTGAGTTCTATCTTCCATCGAACGGAAAACTATAAGGAAAAACACAAGGATACAAACACAGCGCTTGTTTTAATTATATTAGGCAATGAACGTTGTAAGTTTAGAGATAGTAGACTTAACCTTATCTTAAAATTTGGTGTCGAGGCTGCGTCTCATTTAATCTAAACAAAATATTACGTTTGGTCGCCACATCTCCCTTGACAACACCGAGTCAGGTCATCAGAAATTATAAAGCGTTACATAATACGTTTTTATGAACTACATTTTTTTTTTTTGAAGTGAAAACTTCTTTAGAATCGTTGTGGTTTCAAACCGGATGCAACGGAAAAAACGACAGGTAAGAGACACAAATACAAAAATGTGTAGGATGAAGCCAGCAAAGAATGGGACAGAAATATACATACTATTTAATACAGCGCCATCTGTGAGATTTTTTAATACTAACGTGTGTATGAAAGCTCTTGTAGTGAATTTTAATTTAGGATTATACGTGAAATTAAAATATCAATTCACAGAGGGCGTTACCTTACAATTATTTACTAATGATAAAATTTTACATATACTTAAGACGTTTAGGATAATTGTATTTTAATTTTGGAAGGTTTCACTTCTACCACGTGTGAATTGCACACATGTAATTATTATTTTTTTGAGTGTTATGCTGATGGCCTTGAGAGGCTATTTCAGCTTCACCCTAACGTGTGTAGGTGAGCTCACGGGGCTCAAACCGGAGTGTTGCTAACACTGACCCTAGCAAGAGCAGCGCTTCGCAGAATCTACCACCGGATCGGAAACGCGACCCACTGAGAAGATCCGGCGAGAAACTCAGTGGGCTGTGCTTGTGGTGCCTAAAAGCACCGTTAATGGATCAGGAGGATCCATAATGACGTGCTTTGGGCGACGTCGACGGTTTACCATTCGATAATTATTTACTAACCGTATATCGAAGGGTGAAAGGCTATCGACATTTTTGCAACTTTACATGAGAACCATTTAAAGCCGGTAGGAGATACCACTGCCCTGTTTATTTTTAACTATACTATACTGAGACCTTAGAAGGTATAGGTATAAGGTTGTATCTTAAGGTGGGTGGCGCATTTACTTTGTAGATGTCTGTGGGCTAAAGTAACCACTTAACACCAGGTAGGCTGTGAGTTCGTCCACCTATCAAAGCATTAAAAAAAAATCTAGTATATTGCAATATTTATTAATATGTAAAAGTTATTATGGGATCTCATAAATATCGCGCTATATTAAATCAAAGAGTTTTAACTTCGATACAAAATCCGACTTAATTTTACTCTAGTAAGTTTGTATTAGATATTTGCGTTATAATTAAAATAAAACATGTTTGACCTAAAGATAACTCCACCCGTAGATGTGTGTTATTTTCCATTACTAGAAAAAACGACCGAACAAACAACAAGAAGTCATTATTTTTCAGCGAAATTTAACTTCATAATTAAATTTCATTTTAATCTCAATGAATTGAGCTAGCTACCTAGTCCAGCTATGAGTTCTGTTACAAATGAAAATGCTTTTTATTAAAATGTATACCTACATATTTATTAAAGTCTCAGTAAAAAATAAAAATAAAATATTCTATTCGGAATGGGCACCTTTGGCTTTTATACGGGATTTTAATCTGTTTGGCCACGAATCTATGGATTTATGCACTGTTTCCAAGGGAAATTTGGCCATTGCTTGCTCCAAAGATTTTTTAAGGGACTCAATATCGCTGTGTCGTTTAGAGCAGGTTATAAAGTCCGGCACGTTTGTTTCAAGCCAGGCTTGGGTAGTTTGTGCTTTGTGTTCAGGTGCAGAGTCCTGCTGGAAAGTCCACTGTATACTATTAAAAAGTGTAATGCTAAGAGGTTTCACAACACGATCCACCTGGCTGAGCCTTTGCTCGCCCACCCACATGTCCTGGTGAAACTGGAAAGGCCTCCGGGCCACCAGTAATCTATCAACCATAAAAAAAAAAAAACACGATCCAAGACTGTATCTTGATACACTTTGGCTGAAAATTTGACTCCTTTTTCACAAAAATGTAGTTTTGTGACTCCTTAATAAGACACGCCCCACCAAACCATCACTGACTCAGGATGATGACCACGTTGTAACTTTCCGACCACTCGAGTACCTTCTTTAGAACTGTGAGCGTACACTTTATCATTCTGCTTATTATAGTATTCTTCAATCGTGAAAAAATTTTCACCGGTAAAGAGGATATTTCTGTGCCTTTCACCTGCGTATCGCGACAGAAGGCATTTTGATCGATCCACTCTTTTTAATTGTAAATATTGATTTAGGGCATGTCCTACATATCGACGATAAGCACCAAGCTTCAAGTCTTGTTTTATAATACGCGACAGAGTCCTAGAATCTTCATTTCCCGTGATAAGATTTTTTGCTTCCTACTGGTGGTAGGACCACTTGTGTGTCCGCGCGAGTGGGTACCACCACCCTACCTATTTCTGCCGTGAAGCAGTAATGCGTTTCGGTTTGAAGGGTGGGGCAGCCGTTGTAACTATACTTGACATCTTAGAACTTATATCTCAAGGTGGGTGGCGCATTTACGTTGTGGATGTCTATGGGCTCCATTAACCACTTCACACCAGGTGGGCTGTGAGCTCGTCCACCCATCGCCGAAACCTCATTATTATTCTTTTTTTTTATTGCTTATAAAAAAAAAAGAATAATAATGAGGCTTCGGCGAGTTCTGGCTTTAACAGCATTAACAGCCTTTGTAGTTCTAACAGCACGCGGCCGCCCCGACCTTTTCTGGTCTTCGACAGAAGTGTTGTTGTATCTATTGATGTTGAACAGATACCAAGCTTTTGTAGTGTCTGGAATATGACCGACGGCTCCGTACCCACTTAGTGTAAGGCGATCACTGAAATTCTATTTTCTTTAACACCCATTCCATATTATAATATGATAATGAACACGAAAAAATACGTGAAATGGCGCAAAATCGAAAGAAGTTTTTAAAATGCATATTCCAAATTCAAAATAATTAAAAAGTTGAAAAAAAGAAAAGTTTTTATGTAACAGTATTTATTGCCAGACTAGTTATATATTACTTTTACGTGTTTCGGTTTTACTATGTATGAATTTTATATCACGCATTATTCCTATAAGCAAATCGCGCCCCTCCTGGCTAAGTCTTTACCCGCCTACCTGTCTTGGTGAAACTGGAAAGGCCTTCGGAACACCACTAATACTACCTTTCTTAAAAACAGTAGTTCATGTGTTCCCAGTTCCCATTTTTGCGACAGCTGTTAAATATATACATGGGTGTCGGAGAAGCCACAGTTATTAACACCATCATCAGACATCATAGGGTGATGATCGAGCTTAGCAGACGAAACGTATGACAGTTCTTAGGACGGAGGCACCGCTCTTCAAGAAGGCTGGTTGGTAAGTGTAATGGCGTCTACGCGCCTCCATCGGCTAGGCTCTGTCGTAGCATGAAGTTAGTCGAGTTCCGACGATACCGCAATCGTGCTGCCATCTCTCAGGAATCGCGGAATGAAGGAATAATGAAGGAACCACAGCTGCCCCGGAGCCGCATACTTGCATCTTGTGATTGGTGGCCGAACAGACTCTTGTCAACAGCACCCTCTGACCTCTTCCAGTAGATAGCACATAGCCTTCAAATAATAATGGTAACAGATCCCGATCTTGCAGACAGAATGGAAAGCAGTCGATGTCGCCCAAAACACGTCATTTCGGATCCTCTCGATCCACTAACGCTGCTTTAAGGTACCTCAAGCACCGGTCATCGTTCTCGTCGAACCCGTCGCTTGCGACGAAGGGCTCGACGAGTAAATTAACCCACAGACACAGCCCACTGAGTTTCTCGCTGGATCTTCTCAGTGGGGCGCGTTTCCGATCCGGTGGTAGATTCTGCGAAGCACTGCTCTTGCTAGGGTTCGTGTTAGCAACGTCGAGCCCCGTGAGCTCACCTACTAGTTAAGGTTACGCTGAATAGCCTTTCAAGTCAATCAGCTTAGGTAGGAAAAAAAGATAACAGATAGACGAATATATGAAAAATAGATTTTCGACCTTTGACTGTTGTTTTGATAACAAAGTTTGTCGCAGACTATAAGAAGACCACGATGTATACTGTTTCCATTGTAGTTCCAACCCTTCGTTGAACAGGTTAGTTTTACCTTTAGTTTTATTACTGTGTTAAAAGTTTTACTATTTGTATAAATTATTTATCATACCAAAGCACAAATGACTTCCATGATAAAAATAACACCGCAGAATAAAATCAAACTCATATCTTCGTCCAATCTTTTATCTACAGTAATAATATAAAATGATCACCGTTGTTTATTATTTCCTCTATATTTCAAATGCCTCACCGTCTTGGTTGTCCCCACCTGATATTATTGTAGTGTCAAATCAACTTTTGTTTACTAAATTATTTTTAAGTATTATATTATAAGCACTATTTATTGTTCAAGATGAATAATAATGGTAACTTAAAAATTATTATCATTGTATTGAGATAATTCGAGAACTCGTTAACATTCAAAATTCTAGTAAAAATCCGTTAATTAATAAATGCTATTTGAAATGCACCTTTAAATGTTGAGAATAAGGAAAATGATAATTGCACTAAAGAAGACTTAATTACCATGTCACTTAATGAAATCTGGAACATTGGTTTTATTACAGCTATGGGGCTCAAAGAATTTGCTGTGATTTTGATGTGTGCACTGGCTGCTAATGCCAACATCATTATCGATGATACTGGTAGTACAGTAGCAGCTACCGTCAGTAGCACCGACTCATCAAGCACTGAAGCAACTGTGAGTGAGAAGATCAACTTATCTTTGGCATCGAGCGACATTGCTAGTACCTCCGCTAAGAACATCGAAGATGAGCTCTACAACGAAGTCGTCTCAAGAGATTTCGACAAGGCGGTATATCGGACCGCGATATTGTACGGAGCAGGACACGACTCTATTATTTCGAATGTCGTTCACCGGCTCATCAATGACGGCCAGTCCCAAATATTTGATTACGCATACAAACTCACAGCTTCCAGGGGTACATTCATTGTCCGAGCACTTTTCCCTATTGAGATACGAATGCACGAAGACCTGCTGTTCGTTAAAATAATTAGCTATAAGTACGATTTTGCTCTCAAATACAGTCGTGGCGTAGACTTCGCCGGTGATAAAACAGCCTATGGTGATTCTGACACCAGTACCAGGTTTAAAGTTACGTGGAAGTTTGTTCCTTACTGGATAGGCGATAGAGTATACTTCAAGATTCGTCCAATAGATATTGCGTACTTTTTGAAGCTTGGGAATACGAGAGACAGAGACGGTGACCACGGAGCTTATGGATCTACTAACCACGACACAGACAGGCACTTGTGGTACGTCAAGCCAGTTAGACATAATGGCAAGCTTCTGTTCTATATCATCAACAAGGAGTACGACGAACTCTTGAAGCTCGGAAAATCAAAGGACTGGGATGGTGATCGTGTAGCCTATGGGCACTCGGAAAAGGACTTTAACCCAGACAAATTCGCTTGGTACATTAAATTGATATAAGTGTATTTCAACAAAACTATTCCATGTTGCCCATGTATATAAAATAAAATAAGTTTTGAATTCAATTGTTGTTTTTAATGAATGGTGTCGGTGATACCCAAATGAAGAGGTCGCGTGGAAACGGAATCCGGAGTTACCCGAACAAAACGTGGTAACGGACAAATCGCCAAGATTACTCTCTCGATTACGCTGGCATAGTCTCTCAAGTCATGGGTAGGAAAAAAAGTCGCCAAAATAGACGCGTATGCAACACCAACATAAGCAATAAATGGCAGAACTTAATATAAATGAAATATAAAATAAAATTACAGTAAACAGTAAAAGTATCTAAATTATAATACTATTATCATTTTGTTCAACCCTGAACAAAAACCTGACATTAAGTAAACCAGTGGAACTGTTACGGGGTGGGATCAGGAGCTCTTTTAAAAAAAAGGAAACGGTGACTGGCACTGAGTTTATTTTATTAAAGAAGTAGTACAAATGATATCTGTTTCCGGTACTCAAGCCAAATCTGTTTTGTCGCGCTTTAGCAATATATTGTCTTTACATAGAGACAATGCATTCAAGAATGCCTTAGTCTGCATTATTATTTATATTGCGTTATTATTGAGGGGCATATGTAACAGTACCACCGCCCCGCCTATTTGCTGCCATGAAGCAGTAATGCGTTTCGGTTTGAAGGGTGGGGCAGCCGTTGTAACTATACTGAGACCTTAGAACTTATATCTCAAGGTGTGTGGCGCATTTACGTTGTAGATCTCTATGGGCCCCAGTAACCACTTAATACCAGGTTGACTGTGAGCTCGTCCGCTCATCTAAGCAAATACAATATAATATGTAAAAGTTATTATGGGACCTCATAGATAGACCGCTATATTAAATTTCTTGTCAATGCTCTTGCCAACAGCACCCTCTGACCTCACCCAGTAGATAACACATAGCCTTCAAATAGTAAAGTAATGGTAACAGATAGAGGAATGTAAGAAAAATATACTTTCTGGCCTTTGTCTGTTGTTTTGATAACAAGGTTTATCGCAGACTATAAGAAGACACCGACATATTCTGTTTCCATTGTAAATCCGACCCTTCTTTGAATAGGTTAGTTTGACATTTAGTGTTATTACTGTTTTACAAATTTTACTGTTTGTATAAATTATGTACTTATCATAATACCAAAGCACAAATAACCCCGGTAACCGTACTCGTCGAAGTCGACAAAGAGTTCGCCGTGCAACCTAACCCATGAATCAGCTCGCTGAGTTTCTCGCCGGATCTTCTCAGCGGGTCGCGATTCCGATTCGGTAGTAGATTCATTCGCGAAGCAGCTGCTCTTGAGCTGTTAGGTCTCCTTCGGAGGCGCTCGGGTAGCTGTTAGCAAATCCCACCCCTCCTGGCTGAGCCTTTGCTCGCCCACCTGTCCTGGTGAAACTGGAAAGGCCTCCGGGCCACCAGTAACCCTTTAATCATAAAAAAAGCACAAATAGCTTCCATGATAGAAATAACACTGCAGAATAAAATCAAACTCATATCTTTGTCCAATCTTTTATCTACAGTAGTAAGATAAATTGATCACCGTCGTTTATTATTTCCTCTATATCTCAAATTCCTTAATTCACCGCCTCGGTTGTGTCCATCTGATATTACATTGGTTTCAAGTATCTAGATTTTTATTTACTAATTATTTTTAAATATTATAAACACTATTTATTTATTATTCAATGTGGATATTAATGTAAACTTAAAAATTATTATCATTACATTGAGATAATGCCTGAACTCGTTAACATTCAAAAATTGTAGTAAAAATCTGTTAAATAATAAATGGTATTTGTAATGCACCTTTATATATTGAGAATAATCGAATTGTTAATGGCACTAAAGAAAATTTAATTACCATGTAGCTTAATGAAATTTGGAACAATGTTTTTGTTACAGCTATGGGGCTCAAAGAATTTGCTGTCATTTTGATATGGGCACTGGCTGCCAATGCCAACGTCATTGTCGATGATACCGGTAGCAGTGCAGTAGCAGCTACCATCAGTAGCACCGACTCACCAAGCACTGAAGCAACTGTGAGTATCGAGAATATCAACTCAACTTTGGCACTGAGCGACACTGCGGCTAAGAGCATCGAAGATGCGCTCTACAACGAAGTCGTCTCAAGAGATTTCAACAAGGCCGTATATCGGACCGCGATATTGTATGGAGATGGACGGGACTCCATTATTACGAATGTCGTTAACCGGCTCATCGATAACGGCAAATCTCAAATATTTGATTACGCATACAAACTCACAGCTTCCAGGGGCACGTTCATAGTCCGAGCACTCTTTCCTTGGGAGATCCGAATGCACGAAGATCTGTTATTCGTTAAAATAATCAGCTACCCGTATAACTTCGCTCTAAAGTACAGTCTCGGCGAGGATTTGGATGACGAGAAAATTGCCTACGGCGATCCCAATACCAAGACCAGGTTTAGAGTTACGTGGAAGTTTGTTCCTTACTGGATAGGAGATAGGGTATACTTCAAGATTCGTCCAATAGATATTGCGTACTTCTTGAAACTTGGGAATACGGTAGACAGAGACGGTGACCACGGAGCTTATGGATCTACTAACCACGACACAGACAGGCACTTGTGGTACGTGGAACCAGTCAGACATAAAGGCAAACTCCTGTTCTACATCATCAACAAGGAGTACAACAAACTTCTGAAACTCGGCCAATCAACGGACAGCGATGGTGATCGTAGAGCCTATGGGCACTCCACTAGGGACTTCAACCCGGACAAATTTGCTTGGGACATTGACCTGATTTAGATCTATGTTCATAGAAATAAAACTAAGCTTCAAAACATGATGTGTTTTAATTTATCTAATATTAAATATACTAGATGACCCGGTGAACCTACATAATATGTATATTTTGTATTCAATGTTTTCAAAANTACGTGGAACCAGTCAGACATAAAGGCAAACTCCTGTTCTACATCATCAACAAGGAGTACAACAAACTTCTGAAACTCGGCCAATCAACGGACAGCGATGGTGATCGTAGAGCCTATGGGCACTCCACTAGGGACTTCAACCCGGACAAATTTGCTTGGGACATTGACCTGATTTAGATCTATGTTCATAGAAATAAAACTAAGCTTCAAAACATGATGTGTTTTAATTTATCTAATATTAAATATACTAGATGACCCGGTGAACCTACATAATATGTATATTTTGTATTCAATGTTTTCAAAACTTAATATATATATTTTTCATCTACACTGCTACTACTTGCACTATTGCAACACAATTATACACTTATTTAATTTAAAGCTTTCTGATATATATTTTAGAAATTATGGACGCTTAAAATCAAATAACAACAAATCTCCTGGAACCATTGGTATACGCGGGATCAAGACATTCTCTCCTTTGTATTTTCCCTTGATGACTTGACCTCGACGACGTTATTCATTAGCTTTTTCACAGGCAGTCTCATTCCATTTCACGGTCGAGGATCCTATTTTTAATTGTAATTAGTGAGGTGGTAGTCCAAATAAATCCAGGAAATTTAAAAACTCCGTGGGATAGTTACTACGTTTTCCAAATAACTCTCATGGAAGAAAGATCTGCTGGTCGCATTGCAAGCATCAAAATCTTTATTTTTGGCAACCAATATTGTTCGTTGCCTCTGCCAATTTAGCTGTAATAGCCTCTTAGGCTGTCAATGAATAGGTAACGAAAAAAGTTGTCAATTATGGTATCTAAGCTCTTGTTCTATGTCCGTAGAAACACGCTGAATAAACTCCTGTGTTCAGGAGGAAGTATGAAGGCGGCACGGTCGCGTACTGTTTTAATGTGGGGTCTGAATGTCATCCCTCTGACAAGAGTGACGCCTAGATATTTGACCTACGAGGCCCACGGTATGAGCTGGCCGAAGAGAGTGATGGGGCGAATGGCGGAGGTGTTAACGCGTCTATTAGGGAGTGAGCTGCTCAAAGTGGTATTCAGAGGGCAACCCCATTTAAAGAACACCGCTGTGCTTTTCATGGGGTTGATGTCAATGGGCCACTCCCAGAACCAAGGTGGTTGGTGCAATCTGGAGTGCCGATGTTATAGCAACTTCTTCCTACACGAGTAGTAGATGGCCGTGTCATTGGCAAAGAGCGCTAGATGGGTCTCCGGAGACTGGGATATATCGTCGATATACAAGCTAAATAATAACGGAGAGAGCGCGGAGCCTTGCGGGACTCCGGCCGTCAGATGGAGAGGGCGAGAGCTCTACTCCAGCCTTTCCCAAAGTGGGCGTTAACGCCCCCTTGTGGGCGCTGCAGGCCTAATGGGGGCGGTAAGAGACCCAAAAAAAAAAGGGGGCGTTGTGTAGAGGCCTGGGAGGCGATTTATAATTTCATCTAGCAGGACACTTAGACAGCGACTGAGCTCTCGCTCGCTATAGTGGTTATTAAGTAGGTAAACAAAATGGGGGCGCTAAAAAATAATTGATTCTCAAAGTGGGCAGTAAACAAAATAAGTTTGGGAACCACTGCTCTACTCGATATCGAAACGAACGCTTTAACAAGAAGTCTCGTACGAGCACTGAAAATTTCGGGAATTAACGAAGTGACACAACATTACTATTTAAAAATGTATTTATTGCTTTTCGAAGTATTCTCCGCGAAATTTGACACATTTTTCCATACGATGGAACCAATCATTGAAGCAACCATTCCATTCGGAAGTTGGGGTCTCCAAAATGGCCGTTTTGTAGGCGTCCACAGCTTCTTCAGGTGATGAAAATCTCTGTCCACGCAATTTATTCTTTATTTTAGGGAAAGTATAGAAATCATTAGGGCTTAGGTCGGGGCTGTACGGCGGATGGTCTAATAATTCTATGTTTTCTTGCTCTAAAAACTCTTTTGTTCTGTGCGCGGTGTGAGAACTCGCATTGTCGTGATGGAGGATGATGCGGCGGTTGCAGTTCTCTTTACGGAGTTCAGAAACGACCTGTGGCAAACAAATGCTAGCATACCATTCTGCATTAACCGTTCTTTGTCCCTCAAGAGGAATAGTCGTAACATGGCCGGTTTTGGAGACAAACGTGGCCACCATTTTTTTTGCAACACTCCGTGAACGAACAATTTTTGTTGGCTTTAACTCATTTTCGAACACCCAAACTCGTGACTGGTTTTTTGTTTCGGGTTCGTACGCGTATATCCAGGATTCGTCACCTGATACAATGTTGTATACAGCATTTGAGGATCCTGCGTGGAATCTTTCGAGAGTTCTGACGCACCAAGTAACGCGAGCCGCTTTTTGCTCTTCACAGAGCGAATGCGGTATCCATCGGGAAAACAACTTTTTTACACCTAATTGTTCATGCAAGATTATTTGTATTTGACTCATGCCAATGTCTAAGTTTGCCTGAATTTCGCGGTATGTCACATGTCGATCTTCCTCAATCAGCTTACGTACAGCATCAACGTTTTCTTGGGTGACTGCAGTTTTTGGACGACCTTGACGGGGATCATCACTAAGCTTGACACATCCACGTTGAAACTCAGCAAACCAGCGATAAATTGTGGTTTTGGATGGGGTTTCATCACCAAATGCAGAAATCAACCGGTCAACACACTGTTTTTGTGTTAAACCACTGCGAAAGTCATAATAAATCATCGCTCTTGAATTTTCTCGAGTCAAAGACCGAGAATCATTTTTTAAATAAATAAATGGTATTCGATTTTTAAAACCAAGGAGTTTTCAATTAAAAAGATTTTAATATGACAGGAACAGTGGAAATATTCCATTCCCGATACTTTTAGTGCAGCCTAGTATGATGACCACGAGTCTGTCTGACACCCCCATGTTATACTTAATACAGTTTATAAATCAAACCGTTGTGTTCGAACAAACCCGACTTTGTTTTATACCTATATCGATACTAATCTATACTAATATTATAAAGCTGAAGAGTTTGTTTGTTTGTTTGAACGCGCTAATCTCAGGAATTGCTGGTCCGATTTAAAAAATTCTTTCAGTGTTAGATAGACAATTTATTGAGGAAGGCTATAGGCAATATAACTATATAGGCTATATAAGAATGTTTCAAAATCGGGTTTTTTCCCTTTTGAGAGCTTCCGCTGCGTGCGCTGCAGAAACGGTTAAAGTTTCGCTAAAATAATGTATTAAAAAATTGTTATCCTTTAAAATATCTAAAAAAAAAGTCCGCAACAGTATATGTCTGTATATTAAGGTTGGCTCACTAACTATAACGTTTTTTATGCTAACAAAATTTGTTCTAAAATAAAGCATTATTTCTGAAGGTGTTTCTATAAAGATGATATTAACCCTTATCCAAATAAATACGTTATTCATTACAAGTATTTAATTTTAAAGAAATTTACCCACACTTGATTTTAATGAGTATGAGAAGATATCGCAGTTTTAAAATAACATCGCAGCAAAATAATGATCATGCGTGTAATATTGATGTACAAGGCGCGCCGGCCAGCCGATGCGCGGCGGTACAGAATAAGAACAAGAAATACCCCAATCATTTAAAGATAGACTTTGAAATTTATAGATTTTTGTGGATTTCTCCAGGATCCTATCATCAGGTCTTGATGATTACAGGACAATTCGGGAAGTTTACCCTTTCGAACAAAAAACAGGAAAGGGAATTATCAGAATTGGTTCAAGCATTCTCGAGAAATCGGTGAACATACATAGATAAAATATGGTGGTCGAGTTGATGGCCTCCTCTTTTGAAGTCGATTAAAAAGTGTGATTTTGGTACCCTGAATAGCTCCTTAACATTCTATTATTCAAAAATAAGTCGAAGTCGTCGTGGCCTAAGGGCTAAGACGTCCGGTGCATTCGTGTTGAGCGATGCACCGGTGCTCGAATCCCGCAGGCGGGTACCAATTTTTCTAATGAAATACATACTTAACAAATGTTCAAGATTGACTTCCACGATGAAGGAACAACATCGCGTAATAAAAATGAAACCCGCAAAATTAAAATTTGCGTAATTACTGGTGGTAGGACCTCTTGTGAGTCCGCGCGGGTAGGTACCACCGCCCTGCCTATTTCTGCCGTGAAACAGTAATGCGTTTCGGTTTGAAGGGTGGGGCAGCCGTTGTAACTATACTGAACTTATATCTGAAAATGGGTGGCGCATTTACGTTGTAGATGTCTATGGGCTCCAGTAACCACTTAACACCAGGTGGGCTGTCACCTCGTCCACCCATCTAAGCAATAAAAAATAAATAAATGAAATTGACATTCTACGTAAATAAAGTTTAAAATTTAGCGTTATGCCAAAGTAATTATTCCACGCGGATGAAGTCGCAGGCAAAAGCTAGTCGTACTATAAAAATGGTATCGAAAAATTGTAAGACCGCTTTCAAGATTGAATAATAAAATCAAATTCTAAAAAATGAATATATATCGGTTGACAAAGAGAAGAATAGACACTAAATTATTTTGCCTTTATCTAACTACCTAATTATTATAACATACATGGTTTATGCATAAGTTTATTTTATGCAGCGGAAGACGTAACGTGGGACGCCCCCTGGCTAGGTGGTGCGATAACCTCCGCACGGTGGCCGGCAAGAAGTGGATGAGGAGAGCCGCAGACCGGGCTCAGTGGTGTGGATTGGGAGAGGCCTATGTCCAGCAGTGGACGACTGTGGGCTGTTGATGATGATGATGATGATGACATGGTTTTGTATTCTGATTCCATAATGCCAAATACAATAGAGATTCTAACATTTTCAATATAAAATAAATGCGTGAGCTCTCGAATCTCAGTTTTTTTAATTGTAATTTAAAGACATTAATTACCATCGTTTTGGGCCGTTTGATTACGAAAACTCAAATCGAGATTTTTTTCTCTTTAAAGTTACATTATGACCAAACTAAAGCAGCAAACTTGGGTCGTATAGATAAGTCTAATTTATTTTAATTGGATAAGAATTATTAAAAAAAATATATGAAAATGCACAATTATTTGTAGCTAAGTTTATTTGATCCGATTGTGGACTAATTCAAATTAAGTCTTGAATTACATTTATAGCACTTCAACGTGCCAAGCAAATATGTCTGGGGTGAAATCCATCTTCGAGTGTCCATAGCCTATGCGATAGCCGTCGTATTTGGTTGATTGTCCGAGCTTAAGAAGCATATCGTATTCTCGGTTAATGATATAGACGAGAAGCTCACCATTATACCTTACTGGTTTCACATACCACAAGTGTCTGTTCGTGTCTTGGGCGGGAGATCCGTAAGCAGTGCGGTCACCGTCTTCATCTTTACGGGTGCCTAGTTTTAAAAACAAAGCTTCATTGATAGGTCGCAGTTTGAAATAAAGCTTGTCTCCCGTCCAAAAAGAAACGAACTTCCACGTAACCTCGAATCTGGTCGTGGTGTTCCGATGAGCTAAGAGTCTGTGGTCATCATGGAAGTCCGCATTATCATCTAACAAGGCAGCGTAGCCGTCCCTCTTATTAATCAGTTTCACGAACACTGTAGACTCGGAAAGTCGGACCTCTACAGGGAAGCAGCTCCGAAGGGCGAGTCTGCCCTTCGCAACATACAACCTGTATGCGTAATCGAAGATTTCAGTTCTACCTTCATCGATGAGAATGTCAACGACCTTCTTAATGATCCTGTCCCAGCCTGCTTTGTACAAAACCTTGGTCCTCTCGGCGGCTTTATCGTAATCTTTTGATACAACCAAGTTGTAGAGTTCATTTTCTAAGCGCTTAATGACCACGCTTATGGGAGGTGACTGACCATTAGTGACGTTTCCGAAGCTTGCAGCAGCTTCAATGATTTCAGAGCTTACTGTGCTGGTAACACTAGTCGATTCATCAGTCGAAACGGCTGCGGCGCTGTCGGTGACTTCTTTATCCACGATACTATTGGCGCTGGCGGCCAGCACCATACACATTAACAATGCAATCGCTTCTGTAGAACCCATGGCTGTAACATGAAATAAATTTACAATTATATTAAATATCGACGCTTGAAAGGCCAACGTGACTAAGCGACAATGCGTGAACTTTATAGAATACTAATTTAAAGTTGAAATACCTGAAAAAAATTATATTTTAATGAATCTAGCTGTAGGATTGAAATGGTTTTAAAAGACCTAGAAATATATATTTTTTGCGCATCGAATATGGTTATTGCCTATCATTTATGTACAAAGCCGTTATTGTCGCTTAGTCACGTTTGCCTTTCAAGCGTCGATATGTAATAATAAATAAATAATAATAATAAATAAATATTTACTAACAGTCACGCCACATTAACTGGTCCCGTGATAAGTTCGTAAAGAACTTGTGTTACAGGTACCAGATAACGGAAAAAAATATAAGATTTTTATTATACACATACACATATTTAATATACATCCATAACCCTGGAAAAGATATTTATATTTATCATACAAATATCTTCCCTTGGCGGGATTCGAACCCGCGACCCCCTTGTGTAGTGACCATGTCACTTACCACTACACCAGGCGGCCGTAATAACTACAACTTGTGAACTTCCAAATCATTTACTGATGAATATTTTTACATTTACATTAACAACCCAAATCCCAGCCTCAAATGGGACAGAACTCATACTAACTAGACAGTCCGGAAGCAAGGCAACCCATTTGGTTCTTAAGTCTAAACATACATTTAATAAAATCGTAGACATGCTGTGTTAGTATATTAAATGTTTTTTTTAAGCCAATGAGTGTCAAAAATATTGAGGTATAAAAAGAGAGATTAATAATAAAAATAAAGATTAGTAAATAATAAATAATCTATATCTATATATATTAAAATGAATTGCTGTTCGGTAGGTAGCGGCTTGGCTCTGCCCCTGGCATTGCTGTAGTCCATGGGCGACGGTAACCATTCACCATCAGGTGGGCCGTATGCTCGTCTACCTACAAGGGCAATAAAAAAAAATAGTCTCGCTAAAACTCGAGAACGGCTGGACTGGTCATGAATTATTTGTGGAGGTCCAGAGAAGGTATAAAAGGTTAGATAAATATGAAAATGTCCGGAATTAAATAAAAATAACAATTTTGTTTTTCCTTTGATGTGTCCCCCGTCGGACGGATTCCTTTTGTTTGTTTTAAGATTAATTTTATACTTTATCGATTGAGACACTACGAAGTCTGCCGGGTCAGCTAGTGAGGGATAAAAAGAGATATAAAGAGTGGAACGTAAGAAATAATTATTTTAGAAGTTTTTTCGTATTTGTCGTTTCGGTGTTCTGTGTGTTAGTTTAAACGCGTATCAAGCGAACACACTTAATCCAGTTTCATAAATAATTATGTCAAAGTGAATTTGATTATATTGAATTTCACCAAAATTTGCTCATTGGATCGAACTATCTTAATTAAACTCGAGGACTTCATTTTTAACGAGATTCATATTTCAATATACTGTTTAAATTAATGAATAAGCTAATCTTTACTGGTGCTTTATTGCTTTGATGGGTGGACGAGCTCACAGCCCACCTGGTGTTAATTGTTACTGGAGCCCATAGACATCCACAACGTAAATACGCCATCTTGAGATATAAGGTCTCCGTATAGTTACAACGGCTGCCCCAGCCTTCAAGCCGAAACGCATTACTGCTTCACGGCAGAAATAGACAGGGCGGTGGTACCTACCCGCGCGGACTCACAAGAGGCCCTACCACCAGTAATTACGCAAATTATAATTTTGCGGGTTTCATTTTTATTACACGATGTTATTCCTTCACCGTTGAAGTCAATCGTGAACATTTGTTGAGTACATATTTCATTACAAAAATTGGTACCCGCCTGAGATTCGAACATCGGCGCATCGCTCAACACGAATGCACCGGACGTCTTATCCGTCGACTTCAAATACATAATAGTAAGCAACAAAGGAATTAAAAACTGACCTGTGTAGCCAAGATACATTGCAGAAATGTTAAGACAATCACACAGATACCTTTATATAAGACGCGATAAAACGCTATTATTATCAATCGTTATTATCGAAAAGTCAAATGTCATTATTGTTAAAACTATTCATTCTAACTGAAGATGTTCGTTGTAAATATGTTTTATCCAGTTGTTTGCTTAATTAATACGCTTTTATTAGCTTCAGACGTATGTATGTTAGTATGTAACGGAATCTTTGAACATGATTTTGACCCCCTTCAAAACGTCTGATTAACTCGAAATCTGGTATACTTATTAAGGACCGATGACTACTTAATATTGAAAAAAAAAAGAAAATGTGATTTGAAAAAATGGAAATTCAACTAAAAAATTAAAAATAAATAATAGTTTAAAACAACAAGCAAAATACGCTTATATAGAAAATGCTACTAAAAAATTAAAAATTAATTTTAATAAATTTGAATTAAAAATAGTGCAAGAAAAAATGTATATAGCATTTTCTTTGTGAAATCTATGGGTTCATAAAAATAGTAACTAATACGCACTAATTAAAATATACACAATTAAAGATGTTATATAACTATCAGCTCCACGTTAGTATCATGTGAGACGACGTTAGAATGATGTGAAAATAATTTATCTACAAATGTTATTTATTGTATTTATCGCTAGGCCGAACAGAGTTGAACTTGACCTATTTAAGTTGAAGATTAAACAATTATTACACCACAAAATTACAAGATGAATTTATCAGCTCAGTTGTTTTCTAATTAGAGTTCATTGGCTGGTTTGTTTTGTTCGTTTTAATTGCCTTACGGTTTTTACGTAATTTTAAATTTCATGATTTAATTTAATTAATTGATAATCTAAACTACTATATCAAACTACAGTGGTTTTTACAGATGTTCCGTTATAACTACTGAACCATGCATCCGATTAACTTGAAACTTGGTATCCATGTAGAAAATACATGTACTTAATGGATTGTCTAATATTTATATGAGTGTTGGACTCCCTACACCAGTTGCGAGGGCGTTCATGATGAGAATCTTTACGGGGGTGAGAAATAATAATGTTAATTTTAAATGGCCAGCGAAGCCGACGGATACACTTAGTTATTTATAATTTGACTGACTCGGTGGTGCGGGAGTTAGCGCCCCTGTCTGTTGCGCCGGGAGTCGTATGTTCGATTCTCACATGAGGCAAACATTAGATTTTGTCCAAATCTCTATTATTGGTAGTAAATATAGGATCTCCGAAAATAGGTAAACATATGCATATACATTTATAAGGTTTGGTAAGGCCGTATTGTGAGCACACACACGGGCAACAAGTGGGATAGATACCGTTATTCTGTTTATTTTTATCTCAAAATATCCACTTCAGAATAAAATAAAAAACACGTGTGGCACTCGGGGACTGCCGCGGTAAAGCTATTGCATAGCATTTTTAATCAACTTACGCAATTATAATTAGACAATATTAATTTAATATTAAAACAATAATAATAAAATAAGACCACGCTATATTTATAAACATTAACAAAAGCAAAACGTTAACTCCCCTTCACACTAATAAGCTAGACCGCGCGAGAGAGAGAGGGCAGACTTTTCATGATGCGTATGCAGTGCGACGTCACGCCGCGCGCTTATTCACAAACACTACACAAGCGCAATATGTGAATGTGTTGAACGCGAGCTACATGGTAGGCGGAGTGGGGTGTTAGGTTTTGTTTGCGTTACGGAATTTCTTGATTCGGTCGCCGCGCTCAAAGCGATAAAAGCTATGCACTAGCTTAATAATACTATACTAGTATATTGCAATATGTATTAATATGGAAAAGTTACCTCCTAGATAGCCCGCTATATTAAATCAAGGTTAACCTCGATATAAAAATCCGACTTAATTTTAGTCTCGTAAGTTTTTAGTAGGTAGATAATTGTGTTTTAATCAAAATGTAATAACTGAAACTAAAACATGTTTGACCTAAAGATAACTTCAATCGTAGATGTGTGTTATTTTCCATTTCTAAAAAAAAAACTATTGAACAAACAACAAGAACTCATTATTTTTCAGCGAAATTGAACCTTATGTTAATTCGTTTTAATATTTCCAGTTTTTTTTATATTTACGTTCAGTAATTACCAGCTGTCGTGGCGTGCAACCTCTTTGACAGGACATAAAACCTATAATGACTAGACATAGACAGACTAAGACAGACATTTGAAAATAATTCGAAAGTAAATGGAACGAGGGCGTACGTGACCAGCAGCGAGGCAGTACATTTTTTGACTTCTGAAAAGACAGACATACAAAAAGACGAAAAAGAACGAATAATAATTGACCGTTCTTATATAAGATGTTCAAGTGACCTTCGACCGTTCAAGTAGTCATTCGACCGTTCACCAGCTGTAAATGAATATCATGATGACCTACTACTTACATGCTTTGTTCGATTTCGTGGTTTAACTCTTGAAATCTCTCGCCAATATGTCCTTTTTGTATCTAAACACGCGACTAACTGAGTGCGGATTTTTCACTAACCATAGCGACAACGAGGGCATTTTGGAAAAAAAAGGCAAGTGAAGTAGTCCGTATTTCTAAAAAAAATACGTATTTTGGTTTTACAATGTGAGAATTTTATCCGGTAGTAGATGCATACTGCCCTTAAGCTGTTAGATCTCCTTCAGAGAGTGTCGGGCAGCCATTTGCAAATTCCATCCTTCCTGGCAGAGTCCGAGCTCACCCACCTATCGTGGTAAAACTGGAAAGGCCTTCTAAACACCTGTAATACCAATACTACTTACAATATATTATTATGTATGATATAGTTCACGATTGACTTCCACGATGAAGGAATAACATCGTGTTATAAAAATCAAAATTATAATTTGCGTAATTACTACTGGTAGGTATTTTTGGGAGTCCGCACGGGTAGGTACCACCACCCTGCCTATTTCTGCCGTCAAGCAGTAATGCGTTTCGGTTTGAAGGGTGGGGCAGCCGTTGTAACTATACTTGAGACCTTAGAACTTATA